CCCCAAAACCCCAAAACCCCAAAACCCCAAAACCCCAAAACCCCAAGATACCTTAGTAGTAAAAAGATTAGTAGTTTGATAATTTAATAAAACAAATATGATAAGCATAGGATTCATTTTCTAGATCCTAGGATCACTTGCAAATTTCATAATTTATTGCTTCAATGATGATGTTTACACTTGGAAGCTGCAGTCAGTCCTAAATCGTTTAGGGAAGAGCTTATTCTTGGACATTATAAATCCTTTGCCTGAATACCCAGAGGGATATAATTGGACATTAGAGCAGCAGATAAGAAACAGAGGATATCAGTTTGAGAGACACGAGATATAAACAGAGGATGACTATATTCTCACAGCATTTAGAATTCCAGGAAAACTTGGTGAAGAAAATAAGCAGAGGAATAAATACCCAATATTTATGCAACATGGATTAATTGATATGTCTGGCACTTGGTTTTTTAACAAGAAAGAGAAGAGTCTTGCGTTTTAGCTATCGGATTAAGGATACGATGTTTGGATGACTAATAGTAGAGGAACAGTTCCCAGCAATAAGCACATGAAGTACACAATTAAAGATCATTAATTTTGGGACTTCACTGTGCATGAAATGGCCTTGTATGATGTTCCAGCAAATTTGAAATACATTTTAGATAAGACTAAGGCTACACAAGTTATTTATATTGGCCATTCCTAAGGTACTACTCAATGGTTTTTGGCAAATATTTTAGATAAAGATTTGACTTAATATTTTAAAGTCTTTGTTGGTGTGGCTCCTGTAATGTCAGTAAATCATATGACTAGCTTTTTATCATAAACTTTGGATGCTATGAATGCAGCTGCAATTGCCAGTGAAGTTAGCGATTCTATACTATATGCTCCCAACATTGCTAGTTTTGGATCAACTTTAACCCATTATCTTCCAAGGACAGTATGGAGTTTTGTATAAAGTATAGTAGGCTATGATAGTAAAATTAATGTTGACCTAGTATAGCTGCCAATGATGTCTAGAAACGATGTTGGAGGTACATCAACAAAGAATCTTCTGTTTTGGAATCAAATGATTCATGAAAAGAGGCTTGGGTATTTCAACTATGGAGAAAAAGAGAATATGAAACGCTATAACTAAACTCAGCCTCCTGACTACGATGTCTCTCTATTGAAAGATAGACTTAAGGATGTAAAAATCTTGCTATTTATAGGTACAAGAGATTCAATGATTAACCCTTCTGATCTGCACTATCTAAATTAGATTCTTCCAAAAGAAGTGAAACAAGTGAAAATTGAGGATTATAATCATTGCGATTACATGTGGGCTTTTGATTCATACTAGTAAGTAAATACTCCTATATTTGATTTTATAAAAGAACTTTGAATTTATTAGATTTATCTAGGCTTATGGGGTTTT